TACAAAAGTTACTTTTCTCAACAACTGAAATTTAGAATAGTGTGATTAAGAAAAATATGTAAACTGTTTGCAATTTCAAATTAATATTGAAATGCACAGGTTTAGAATTTTCTACAGTTAAAGTTTTCGGAACTTCAGTGTTCAAAAAAGTATACAAAAGCTAGACGTTAGGAACGTATCCAATGCGCGAGCAAAGCGAGCATCGGATTGCGAAGCAATCCGAAATGAACTGCGAAAGCAGTTCCGGGAGTTGGCGAGCGCCAGCGAGCAGGGGGCGAAGCCTCCTAGTTTTATATATATTTTTTGCAAATACTTTTAAAGCCTTTTGAAATAAATATTTTTTTATGATTGCTACGGAGTAAAATATTGTGAATTTTAACCAAGTCTCGACGAATAAGTTATTTTTGGTTTAGTACTTTACGGCTTAAATTAGTGTCATATTAACATTTATAGTTACTTGCATTACGAAATATTAAAAAAAAAGAGGCCCAAACTCTGAGTCGCTATAAAATTTATTTTTCCAAAAACATATCATTAAAGTTAGCTTGTAGCTGTCACAAAACTTGAAACCTTTATTGTCACCCGACACAGAACTACTAAATTCACTCTAGCTAGTCATAAATGATTGGAATTTTTACTTCAAATTTTAAAATTTGAATTAAGAAGAACCTGGTTATCAGATTTACCTGTTGCTTTGCACTTTCTTTTATCTGTTCCAAGTCTGTAACCTTCAACACAGGTACACTTATAACCAGGAACGGTGTTCTCACAAAATTGACTACAGGTTCCTTCCACTTGACATTCATCAATATCTGGAATAGACAAAAATACTAAATTAATTCCGTTTGAATAATTGTAAAATAATTCAAAATTTTAGAAATTCAGAAAATGTTAATACTCCATGGAGTCGAATAGATTGAACGAAAAACTAGTTTTACATTTGTTAAAATTTTCTTCTTTTTATTTTATAAGCAAATGCGCACCACACTTAATATTTTTCAAAATAAAGTAATACTCAAAAACAATAATACTCAATATTAAAAAGCGTTTTCTTTCACCAAAATTTCAGGTGTAAAAGCGTTTTTGTTATTGGAAAAAATAAGCACTTTTGCGTTACATTCCGTACGACCTCGCATGTAAAATATAAAGTAATTGCGCATGCGCACTTTAAGAGAGTATGAGTCTCGGGGGGGATATCAAACGTGCATGAACGAAAATAAGATATTTTGCAACAAAAAAAAAAAAAAAAAAAAAAAAAAAAAAAAAAAAAAAAAAAAAAAAAAAACGCAATATAAAGCAGTGGAATATCATTTTTCACCGTAAAATCAAAGCAAACATTTACAATGGACGTGAATGTCATTAAATTGACTTCTTTTAACATAAATTGTATAATTAAAATAACTAAATAAAATTTTAAAATAACAGAAAAATAAATATTTTTTATTGACGCTTTGCAATTAGACAACCATAAATCTTTAACATGAATATATTTTTTATTAAATCAACCAATTATTGCAAAATTACGATTCATTTTAACATTTTGAAACAACAAATCCTCCAACTTCATTCCATGTTGGCGTTCTTTCTGATAACATGCATATATATATTTCTATAACATGTTCATGGTATGTCCCTGTCTATGTATATATGATTTTCTAACACATATCCATGTTTTTAATTCGAAGTTAGGCTTAAATAGAAAGTAACATTCAACAGCCACGAACAGCATGATTGTATCTCTATAAAATTTAGCCAATAAAACGTAAAAATACGTAGAGTTAAAAAAAAATGCGAGCACGTGTAGTTGTTTTAAATCTTAAGTACGGGAGCATACATGATATAACGTATATTTTAGAAAACTCTCATTTCACAAAATATCAGGCTTTCTCTAGCTACAAATGTTCCATAGGCAGAAATAAAATTATATTAGTAAGAAAAAAGGGTTTATTCAGAAAATATTCGTTTTCGCTGCTGATTTCGAAATTTCAAATATCTCCTGCATTCACTTTGAAGTCACCCCTTAAACCATTAAGACTAAATCCTAAAACATGAAGATCTGATCACGACGCTGGCAGTCGAACCCCCGTTCTGTTTGTCATGAGATTGACAGATTAGCCTTTTCGGCTATAATATATAGTGAGCTGCAAGGAACTAAGTATCTTCCTTTGGGGGGCACTGTTGGTGCGATAAAATTCTGGTTGCTTATCCATATTAGGTGAAAGTAGTCAATAAACAGTTTTTCTAGCAGTAACAGTTTTAATACCATCTCATTTATGTTTTTTTTTACTATTTCGTTTGAATATGGTCAAATATAATTTAAATAAATTGTTATTTAACCATTTTTTCCGAGAAATTCCTACCAGTGTCTACAACACGGCTAAAATTGCTGTTCAAATTTAAGGCCACTTCCTTAAAAGGACGCGCGGAGAGACATTCAGGAAGCATATATACACAAATTCTTTCTTTATTATCTTAGATGATGCTTGCTAAATTACAGCACTATGTAATTAAAACAGAGTTTCACTGGAAGATTATTCATCATTCTATATATTCATTGATTTCTATACAATTATTTAATCGCTGAATTCTAACGCCAGGATAATAAAAGTAAAGAAAGCGTATGTCATACGTAAGTTAAATTTTTAAACGTAAAAGCCGGATATTTTTTTAAGTAAAATTTAATTAAAATATTTCCTATTGATTATGTGAGAAATCATTGGTGTATTAAAAAATCAAATTCTCCATTAAACTAATAATACTATTCAAAATTTCAAACAAAGTGAAGTAATATTCAAACTTAGAAAGCGCCAATGAAAAGCATGCATTTTGTTAAGATTATATAATATTTTACAAAACAGATTTTTTTCACTCACTTTTAATATAAGGGATGTATTTTCTTTGAAATATTTTCCCTTTACAATATTTGCGTCTTAGGGATCATATTCCAATGACTTTTTTGATCCCAGATATTTCGAAAGAGGCATAAACAACCATATTTTCATATAGAACATTTTATGGAAATATATTTTTTTTCCGGGGTTTCGAATGCTTTTTCTGCACTGAGAAATCAGAAGGCGTTCGCGCAAATCTCAACATTTCCTGGAAATACGCTGCGCAAATGGGTAAAGAAAAAATACCCACGTTTTTCTACAGTAATATGCTTCGTTGAAAGTAGTAAAGAACGCTAAGATGAGAACTATAAATTCATATTTTATTTCTTCAATTTTACTGTGCGTTGAGATTTATACTTTGATCTAAAGAAATGATACTATTTTCCATGAAAACAACTTTTCCAATAATTTTAAGATTTCTCCAAAAAGGGATGTTTTTGTACAAAATATTACATTATGATAGAAATACGTTACATTACGATAGTTTAAATGATAGAAATACGTTACATTATGATAGTTTAAATGATAGTAATACGTTGCATTATGATAGTTTAAATGATAGAAATACGCTTCGATTATGGTAATAAGAAATGCAAAGATAATAGATATTGAAGTAGTAAAGAACGCGATGTTACAAGAATATTTTCTTCCTCCGACATAATTGAGCTTTGAAATGAGGTTTATTTAGTGATTTAAAAATAATTTCCCTTTTAGTAGGGTATTTAGCAAATTTTTGGATTTCGCTTAAAAATTATGCTTTCATGCAAAATTTTAATCAAAAGTAATACTTAAATGAAATTGTAACGAAAGTTATGATAAAAAATAATAATTTGATTCTTTGAATGAAAGAAATTAAATTATTATTTTACTATAAATGTCATTTACAAAATTTTTTAAATTTTTCTCGAAAGGGAGTGCTAAATACAAAATTTCAAATAGTAAAATTTTAATTATAAATTTATTTTACAAAATTCGTTAAATTTATTAATCATTGCCTTTATCTTACGAATTTATAAATTTGTTTCCATNTTAAATTGTTCTCAAAAGTGAATGCTAAATACAAAATTTCAAATAGTAAAATTTTAATTATAAATTTATTTTACAAAATTCGTTAAATTTATTAATCATTGCCTTTATCTTACGAATTTATAAATTTGTTTCCATGCAGTTTCAGAAAAATTGTCTCACAATATTACTAGCAAAAAAATTAAAAAAGAAATATTATTAACAGCATAATTACAAAAAAAAAAAATCAAAATTTTCTGAAAAATTCCTTTAATATTGAATCATAATTTCGTCACCTTTAAACGCATCAAAGCTTTTTGATACACTGTTGCAATTTTTTAATCCCCACATTATTGAAATTTTAATAAGGTGTTCAATTTTACTCTATTTTTGTTCAATTTGAATCATTTCCACAATTTAATGATTTTTAACTAAGTATTAATTTTATGTGTTTTCGTTTCGTTTTATTCTTTAAACTGTTTTTTACGACCCTAGTGACAAAATGTTTAATTTAATTGCTGTACTTTGTAAGAATTTCTCATATCTACTAAAATTAATCAAAAATTTCTACAATTTTTTTTTCAAGTTTAGAATTCGGCGATTAAGTTAAATCATACACATTTCAGTTAGAAAAAGAATTAAACAGCAATTATTCTAAAATAATTCTTAGCTACCTAATTTAATAGGGAAATTGCTAATTCGTTGGTTAACATTCAGGAAATAGAATGCCTTTTCTCACTCAACCTTGAGTTTTGTGAAATAATGACAAAATTATTTCGAACTTCTAAAATTGCATGACTTTTTTACTGTTTTCTTAATTTTGAAAAGACAAAATGATTTGAAACAACAAAGAAACAATGCAGACGTTACCTTTAAGGTGAATTTTTCGAGTTCAGACAGAGTAAAAGAAAATTTGTACGTCACAAACACATTCGAAAATAATCCGAGATAAATTTTAAAATTAAGGAAAAATTCAAGTACGCGAATATAAAAAGCATGTATGTATCCTAAAGAAAAGAAAAACATTCTCACTTAGAGAAAATGTTTTTGTAAAACGAATATCCACTGAGAAAAGTTTATATATCCTTTTTTTTTCATCGTACATAAAAAATTATTAAGATGAACAATGATACCTAAGTATAATGCGTATTACGTTATACATCCTATAACTATTTTCATCAGCCTTACAGTCTTAAAGTAAATATTTATAAAATCCTAAAGTGTATTTTCAAAGAATATGTTTAAATAGATAAAATCTTTTTTCCCTGCCTTTTTACCTATCTTGGCTTTAAAGGTGCTCTTGGTTAGGGAAATATACATTGTTGGTAGTTGGCTATAGGCACTTTATTTTTCTATCATAACAACATAATAGTGGTACAGAATGCTGTTATCTCTATGATAAGACTTCGACGTGATCAAAATATTACAGATGCGCAACTTCAATATAAATTACTTATTTTTACAAGTTTCGTGAATTTTATAGTAACTTCACCTCCGGCTCGCGGTGTAGGTATAGTATAGGTATTTTTATTGCTTTCAAAGTGATAAGAGTTTAAAAAAGGTAAAAATAAAAATCAGATTTTGTTGACTTTTTTATAGAGTTCTCGTTTATCATACTATCAGGAACGTTTTGAATTTTAACTATATATATATTTTTTTTTGTCGTTCCAGTATATTTATTTTTATAGAAAGAAACTTTTCGACTATGTTTATTATTGAATTGACTCTTAAAATAAACTCGAAAAGGATTATAGAAAAGATTCTATAGCTTATTAATTTCCATTTTTATAGGTGAGTTTAAGAAATGCTTGAAAATTTAAAAATTTATGAGATCTCTTTTTGCAATTTAAAATTCTTATTACAGATTTAAAAAATATTTTTACGTAAAAATATATTTTTCAAATGAAATGATTATCGGGGAATCCATTTAGACTACAGAACAACCCTTTGCTCTTGAAATATAATAATATAAAACATATTTTCTTCCTGCATCAGGGAAAAAATTATTCCGCAATCACCTGCATAGAATATATATTTTTAAAATATTTTTTGAAAAAAATGAAGTAAATTTATGTTAGAAAATTTATATTTAGGAGATAACGAACCATTGTCAACGTTACTCGCAGTGAAAAGTGAAACTAAAATCATCAAGTGTAAATTTATGCTAGAAAATTTATATCTAGGAGATGACGAATCATTGTCAACACTACTCACAGTGAAAAGTGAAGCTAAAATCATCAAGTGTAAATTTATGCTAGAAAATTTCTATTTAGGAGATAACGAATCATTGTCAACATTACTCACAGTGAAAAGTGAAACTAAAATCATCAAGTGTAAATTTATGCTAGAAAATTTATATTTAGGAGATGACGAATCATTGTCAACACTACTCACAGTGAAAAGTGAAACTAAAATCATCAAGTGTAAATTTATGCTAGAAAATTTATATTTAGGAGATAGCGAATTATTGTCAACATTACTCACAGTGACTAAAATCATCAAGTTAAATTATCGAGAAGAAGCGAATTAATTTGTTCAAAATTATGGATGATTTATTTAAGCCTAATTATGTGACTTACAGAATTTTCAACTACTTTTTAATCAATGATAATTTCATACATACACAATTTATAACAATTTATATTGTTCTTTTCGTAATTTGTATTGATAATGATTGAAAAAATTTTGAGGTGAAGGATACGAAAAAAAATTAGCTTCATTTTAAACTACGCAACTATGAAGTGATAAAATTTAAAATTTGAATTAAATCCATCAAGTTTCTGAAAAATGAAAACAAAATATGTCCTATTGTAAGTTCAGGAAGAAGCAAAACTATTACTTTCTCTTTATACTTTGGAATTTTTTCAATCGCATTGTTTTAGATTCTGAGCTGTCAAAACATATCACTAAGGTGGCATTATTGAAAAAAAAAAAAAAACAATAAATAAATAAAATGGAACCAATTATACGTTATATAGAACGCATTTTCATTACCGTATCTACGTTATAACGTATTTCATGTTTATCGAAGAGCATTTTCATTTCTTACATTATAGCAATAATTTTTATTTCTGGAAATTCTGTAATGAAATAAATCCCAAATATGCCGTATTATTTTTCTCTTAAATTCATTTAAATACAGCAATCTATGTAACAGCAAAATTTTTAGATGGCTCAAGTTAAAAGTATATAATAATTGTGAAATTTATAATTTGCGAGTAAGTGAACAATACATATGAATAGAAAAACTGTTTTTATTGGCTTATCTCTATCTCATATTTTTGGTATTTTAATTCTTATTCTTTTGTTACAGATGGGACATCGGTGTCAGCTTTAATACTTATTTTTTCTGACGCTTTAATTACAAGCAATAATATTTTAACATTTTAAATTATAGAAAACAGAACATGAAAAATCTTCTAAATTATAGGAATTATCTTTGATCTAAAATATTAAGTCCAAAAAAGTTAGTTTAAAGAAAAGTTTCATTCATATTCAAAAATGTATCAATAATTGATTTTGTAAATTAAAGAAATGTCAATGAAAAATAATTGCTTCACTTATATTTAAATAAGTACGAATTTGAAAAATTTTACCATGTTATGAAGATTGAAGAAAAGGACAGTGGTATTTGTGTTTCATGCTGTATTTTATAACCAAAAATTATAACAATAATATTTTTAATTTACTTTACCTCAATTAATACAAAACAATAAAAAAAAGAATGAAAAATATGTCTAATAAAAATTCTGCTTCAAAGGGTAAAAGCTATCCTGCTTTGCTCTCAAAAAATAAATTACAAGTCTCGTTAATCAATAACTGCCACATTTACATGCTTACTTCAATTCTACTTATGATGTAAACTCAAATCTGATCTAACTAACTCTCAAATGAGTAGCTTTAAGTCCTTAAGTTGCTTAACTAAACGTTGGCTTCGAGGTAAGGACCATTAAGCTCAAGAGTCGATATAGTTATGTGAGTCTCTTAGTCCTTGTGCTAATATTCTGCAGTAATTACCCTACCTCTACAGGATCTCCTGTCCAGAGCAAGGTGATATCCGTGTTTGCAGGCGCATCTTGGTCCAGTTGAAGTCGAAAGGCACAAATGTTGGCATGGGAACCCGTCCTCTCGACATGGTGATCCCGTTTCTAGGCAACAAAAGACACATTTAGGATTTTGAATTATTAATTAATTCCATACATTCATGCTCGTGCAAACTGCTCTGGTATTTAAAATTTTAAAGAATAATCAGCGTTATATGTGCAATTATGATATGTACTATTATAAAATAAAATAATTACGAGTTGTTACAAAAATGAGGGTAAATTTGAAAAATTGTTAAAAAAAACATAACTAACTGAAAAAGGAAAAGAATCGAATTCTGCTCAGGAAATGAGAGAATTGCTACTCCTTAAGTTTATAAATTAATTTCTAAGTTTATCGTCAGATGGTGCTATGAACTAAAACAATTTTTTTTTAAAAAAAACGAGCTTTCCTTTTGCATGATGATTGCTTATTCTGTTTTTAGATTTCATTCCGTTATTGAAAATATTCTTTATAATTTTTCTAGTTCAGTAGTGCCATTTGTTGTTAAACTTTGTAAATAATTTTAAAGATTGATGAAAAATAATTTATTTCCCCGAGAAAAAAGCATCAAAGCCTACATTTTATCCCTTTTCGTTATTTTATAATTAATTTTTTAATTTGTCAGCCATTTATGGTTCACAGGGTAAATCTTATGTTGTATGAAGTAGACTTTTATTATTGCTGTTACATAGAGAGCATTCAAACCAACAAATGTATTTATTCTTTTTCTTAATTCACTAATTTATTGATAGACACTGATTCACTGATTTATACACCTAATTCAATATACTAATTGATCTATTCTCTGATTCACTGATTTGTCTATTTTCTTATTTGCTAATTCATTGATTTACTTCATTAATTTTCACTATTTATTTTTACTCACTCATTTCTTCACTGTTATGATGTCATTATGCTTTGAGGGTGAAGTAGAAGTGATGTGTTACCATATTCAGTGAGTAAAGACATCATTTTTTGTAATCTCTATGGTTAGTAAATAAGTATTAACATTGTCTGCGTTTTAAGAATTATTCATAAGCATTCTGAAATTTAAATTTTTAAATTTTAGAATTATGTAAATGTAAGAATTTCCTAATATATATGATTTTTGCAGATAAAGCAACATTAGATATCTATGACATTATTTATTGAATATTAGTTATCTTAACGGATAACCTTTAAATCTTCTATTAACGGTTTCAATAAGGTCTTAGGTTTACGGCGACCCTGACCCTTCAGGTTCATACACCAAAATCATTTCGAAAACTCAATCGCTTGGAAGCAGCCCACCCACAGCACCAAAAGGTCAAGCAATTCTTCGGTACATGGCCCAGAGTCACGCATGAATATGATCACCACAAGACGTCAATGAGCAAAGGAGGCAAAAAGATAAACATCAAAGATCCGAGAGCAAAACACACTGGACGGAGATGCCAAATTGTGCCATAGACAATGGTTAAAAACCTTGCCAACAGCAACGGAGCAACCAACACACCCTCTCCCAAATCGGCAGCCCTTCGGCTGGAAGGCCTACGAATCATTATTTATTTAAAATTACATTCACATAAAAAAATCCATCAAAGGATGTTTACAAACAAACAGAACAGAAATTTAGGAGTGTAACAGGTTGAAGAGTGCCAATGGTTGGCATACAAACCGTAGTTCTAAGAGCTTGTAGCTGGTACGTTTTTGGATTCACACAATGGCTCTCTAGTACGAGATACGGGATCAATTCAGTACCCTATGATTCGTCTTTGGCTGCGTTTCAAAACTCTGATTAGAGTCATGGCAGTTGAAGCACGTGTTTTTGATTTTGGAATCATTTACCTTATGTGTTTCCAACATGTTTCCTCGTGCTGACAGTTCTGGGCCAAATGACCCAGGCCATTGCAACTGTAGCAACGGAGGGCACGCAGGCATTCCTTGACTGCATGGCTTTTTCAGCCTAGGTTTAATTTTCCCTTTTTCAAAATCTTTTTAAAGCAATTGTACTCGAGCGTCATAACCCAGGGCATTCCATTTTTAGTTCGTACTGGGAATGAGACTTCCAGTTGTTCGTTTTGAAAATCTTTATTACTCCTCCAAAGGAGGTTTTCTAAAACTTCTCTTGTTAAAGACTCTTCGATCCCGCCCTAGACGATCTCCCTAGGGTATCGTCTTGATGGCCTTTCACAAGTTAGCTTTGAGCTCAGGCCTTTCTCCCTAAATTCCTCTTCGAACCTCTTTAGGTCTCTTCCCGACTCAACTTGGAGTAACATTCCTGGCCTTTGTGTTTTCTTGATTTTTATTACTTTCAGTCCTATCTCCGTCACATTAATATTTTCTTTAATCTTTACTTCGATTTCTTCAGTTGTTCCACCCTCTTTGGGTTTCGCAATTAGCACATGGTCTTTCGCTTTGGGTTTGCAAACAATATGGCATTGGCTGCCTCAGAGTAGGTTTTTTTTGTCTCTTTTTGTTATTCTTAAAAGCCTCGCATAATGCCTTTTCCACCTCCCGATGCATTCCTTTACTGGAGGCTAAAACTATCCGCCTGAAAATAACTTCTGCCGAATTCGAAACCAATGGAAGTAGTTTTGATATGGCTATTGTATCTAACTCTTTGCCCTGGAACTCTTCACGCCATCTTCCCAATGAGTCACTCAAAAATGTGGTCAATCTGGCTTAACTTAAAAGTTTCATTAAAATCCTTTGGGACCTCTTCTTCTCCATTCACCGACACTACTCACCTTCAAAAAATATACTTTGAAATCAAGGACAACACAGTTAAAAGCCTTAATTAAAATCAGTTAAAGGATCAGGAGGATTAGGAATGCTTGATCACTAAGACACTTGGAATGTCAGGTGTCTTCGGTCTATCGTACCCACTGTCTGCGTTAGACCCCCCCCCCCNTGCCTCCCCCCCGGAGATATTACACCCTCGTACCACGTTGAGTTGAAGAACTGGAATTTTGCTTTCTATCAATAGATTTTAATTGTCAGACCATTTCAGAGTTCAACGCTGGGAATAAACTCTGAGACTTGTTCCACCTAGAGTATTCTTAACAGTTTCAATAAATGAAACTTTATTCAAGTGGTTTTGGGAACCAATCAATATGTTTTAATAATGTCGAATTCTGAAATAGCGTTTAATTAATTCCCCATGGTAGTAAAATAAAAATATTAATTTTACCACTTTTCTTCAGCTCAATAATTAAAGAGAACAAAGATTTGAAAGCAAGAAATACAAATATATCAATGTAGTAGCAAATAAATGAGTAGTTTTTAATGCCCAACTTAAAATTATTACAAATAAAAAGTAAAATTTTTTAATTTTTTTGTTGTTGAATTATAATTTGATTATAATTTAATTATTATTTAATACTTATCTTCATTCAAAGATTAAATTATAATAAATAAATGTTTATCTTTTATAAACCCCACAAAGTCAATTTTGAAAGGCAAAATTAATTAATAAAAACTGTAATTTATAATTACTGGAAAACAAAGGGCATTTAAATTACCCAAGCTAAACTATACAGGTATCTTTCGTCGATATGGACTAAATCATTAACTTCATTGCAATAAATGGATACGTTATTTTCAATTCTAAGATTAAAAGTAAAACTGAAATAAAGCGCTTATAATGAAAATCAATTCGACCGCGCTAAACTGGAAAATCCCCCCACATTATTCCCATCAAGGCTAGGGGAGGAAATTTCCTTCTAATTAATGCAGATAATTCTTCGCTCTTTTCAGGTACATAAACCTAACCATCTGTGCCCTTGAAGGGAAAACTGCATTACCTGTCTATCTTTGCAGACGATTTCCTTGGAACCTATTAAGAGAGTGTTCTTCTGCTTTGTCTCTATTGTCACCAGCGAGATTGAGAAGAGATAAAAGCAGTCTTATGGCTAATTCGAGCATGAAATTAAACGTCAAACCCATGGAATTTCATATCAGAAAAGGGATCATGAAAACACAAAAGATATCTGCCGAGAGAAAATCCCGGTTAAAATCGTTTTCTATTAAGAACTGTTATGGGAAGAATTTTCCCTGTTAAGTTTTAAAGGATTGATGGAAGGATACGGAAAAAAATGCAGATCGTTTTCCCCAAGGGAAAGATCCTGCTGATCAAAAGGGATTAAGAAAGACATGGGTGATATTCGATATATTTATCATTGTGCTTGAGAAAAGAAAGAGGGATTTTAGACTGAGATTTTAGATGATTAAGCACGGTCTTTATCTTGATGTTCAAAATTATTGGAAATGCCATGAAAAATTAATTGAGTGTCTTTCTGTTCCTAAGCTTTTTCTGTCGAACATTTAAGCCCTACAAACTAAACTCTTTCATAACTTTCGTAAGTTTCTTGAGAAATTTTATACTTTTGCTTGTTAATTAGTAGTTTCGATACTTAACTATGTTGATTCTTTTGTAACTCAATTTCTTTTAAGTTTTGAAAACTATTTTTAACTGATTCATCTCACCGAATTTTATCATTTGCTCCGGATAATTTTTTTCTTTTTTTAAAATTAATTTAATGAAAGTAATTCTAGCTCCATAGGTGTAGTAAAATATTAACAATCAAGTTTTTAACCTGATATTCTAACCTGTAAAGAACCAGATTAGAAGTTGTTGATAATTAGAAACGAGTGCTTTGTATCAAAATTCAGATGGGTAACTCCAATTGTCTCAAACTAACTGCATAGGAAATTATTGTTTTTCTTCAAAAGAATGAGTTAATAAAATTGAAAAGGCAATAGTTTAACTTAAATAAATTTCGTGAATAGCTTAAACCTTGTTCCGAACCTAATTCTTTTTTTTCACTGTCGTTATGGGAATGAAGAAAACACTTTCCTTACATTCTAATACTCAAAACGTAATATTTACTATATTTATTCAAATTTAGATTTTTCTTAAAATGCTTTAAAATATAATTAACAAAGTATAGAAAAGTGATTTTTTTTTCATTCTCACGCATTAGCTATTTAAGCAATACATTTTATGCAACTCTTTAACAATATTTGCGGATTTAAAACCAAACATTCGTGACTCATTTTTCAAGAAAATTAAAATAATTACGTAAGCTGTTACGTAACTGAGAAAATTATTACGTAAACTATTACATTTTCAAATGATACAGTAGAGTTCTTAGCAAGAAGCAAATGCATTCAAATTTGTCTCGTTCTTTCCTTCAAACTAGGAAATTTTCCTCTTATTGGGAAACCATGCTCTAAATAGGTAAAAAAAGAAACCTAGATGCAATAAATTCATACAAGTTCTCCCCTTATCTAGTCAAAATAAAAATTACTATTCTCTAAGCGCCTCCAGAAAAATCTCTCCAGCCGTCTGCAGACTAACGAATGCACACAAAAAAATTAAGCATATACATAACTATTGCATTTATTACGAAAAATCCTGTACCATTTCATTTAATCATTTCGTGGAGCTGCGAAAGGTACAACAAACTTTAAACTTTTTGCAACACAAAAAAATTGTCTTATATAAGTTTTTTCTTTTTTTTAAAAATTAAAAGGAACAGATTATTTCAAATAATTAATATTACAGGAAAAAACACACTTATTATGCTTCTAAAATCTAAAAAAAAGAAAACATGAAAAGCTGCATGTTTCAATTGCTATTTTAATCTCTTGAAAAACATTAATTTCAGATGAATGATAGTTAGAAATCTACTAACTTTATTTTTCAATGGCACTACAACTTGCAGTAGGCTTTGGCTTGCTGAACAGTGTTACTCCAGACCTTTCTGTTATTAGATTTCCAGTTTGGAATTTTATTATGATTAGATCTTCTGTAACCAACTCTTCTTTTCAGTATAACCTTCTCTGAGTTCATTGGTTTCAAATGTAAAAGTTTTCTAAATACCCCTTTTTCGTAAATTATCTCTGTAAGGCTCATTTATGCCGAATTTTTTGATTTTATGAATCTAATGATGTTTTCGGTTTAATTAAATTGATCAAGTTCACTATTTTTACTAATCCTACACTGTGGAATGCTCATTTGAATTGGTTCAAAAATTCTTATGAATTTTTTTTTATACATTACTAAGTAATTTTCATCTTTATTCATCAAAGTCCAACCTTTCACTCTTAGTTAATCCAGGCCTGATAACTGTTTCATGTACTTATAATTTTAGTGAGGAGCTTGTTCGTGAATAAGTAATGGTTTAAGTTTAGCATTTATTTCACTTCTATATTCTCGAATTAATTTCTTCAAGAATATTAATTAGTTACAAAACCAGACAGAAACGTACTTTCTCTGAATAAACATACCTTTTTTTTGGACAGATTGGACAATTTGGGAAATAGGGTCCTCATAATTCGGTCAGGAAAGCGGTACAAAGCTTGGACCCCTTAATGTCAATTTTATTTTTTGCGTATTTCACCATATCTCGAGTCTTTTTTTAAGTGAGTTGAAATTTTTTCCACACAATTATAAAGTTCGTTATCCAAAAACAATTCGATGAAAAATAAGAATTTTAGTAAATATTTATTATTTTTTATTATTTTGTTTCATAATTGTCGAAAAAATTTCGAATTGTAAGGTATACAAGTTTTACATCATTTCAAAGAATGCTTCTTTGCATAATAACTACAAAATTTGATCAAAATTTGTCAAATAGTTCCTGAGAATCTGAAATTTAAATAAGTTATATTTTTAAAATTCATTAGCATTGGAATTATTCGACTGATTTCTCTCAAATATTGTATTTTGCCGTGCAAATTTACACTATTTAATATTATTCAAAAAATTTTAGACCTCACGATTCAAATATTTTTTTGAAAATTATTAAAAAAAATAATAAAAAATTATAGAATAATAAATATTTACTAAAATTGTGTGGGAAAATTCTTTTCATTCGCTTAAAAAGTTCACGAGATATGCTGAAATGCACAAACAATAAAATTAACAATAAAGGGTCTAAAGTTTAGACCGTTCTCCTGACCAAACTGTGGGGATCATATTTCCCAGATTGTGGCTACCCTCAAAATCTTGGGGGTCAGAAACCCAAATCTGTAAGGAAAAAAAAGTCTGTTTATTCAGAGAACATAAGTTTTTTTGTCCGATTTTGTAACTTAAAATATCACCTACACTACTTAATTAGAATATTTGAGACCATCCCCTCAAATCTCTAAGATTGAGTTCTAGAACTTGAAGATATAATCATTTGCTGAAAAAAAATTCAGGGTGGTCCATTTTTCATTTTGCACCCAGTACAATAAATCAATCACACATAAAAGTAACAAAAACACTTACTGCACGTTCTGTTTTCCAACTCATCTGATCCATCTGGACATTCGTACTCTCCGTTGCAAACATGCAACTGACTGATGCAAGAACCGTCATTGCATCGAAATTGTCCAGCTGCACATTCATCAGCAGCTTAAAAAATATTAAATATTTTAAATTTTTTGACATTTTTTGAAGAAAATAATGTAGTTAATTTCATTCATGAACTGAGCTTATGAAAATTTTAAATGATTCGTAAAAAGTGAGAAACATTTGTTTTAATGAGTCTCAAAGCTCATACTTTTATACTTATCCGAAGTTTACATTTCACATTTTCTTCTCTAGAATTTTAAAGCATTGCAATGAACCTTTAAATTTTTGAACACCATATAAGAAATTTCGGATGGTAGAATCGATTAATGCACAAAAATGATTCTGACATCGGACATAAATAACACTTTTACCAAAAGAATATTTAGGTTGCAAGGGATACCTTCTTCATCAATGACGGATTTTTTTAACAGATATCAAAACAGGATTAATCAATTCAAACATAATCGATCAAAGCCTAATTAATCGGTAGAATCAATTAATGTACAAAAATGTTTCTGACATCGGATATAAATAATAATTTTACAAAAAGGTTAGTTAAGTTGCAATGTAAACCTTCTCATTAATGACTGATTTTTTTTAACAAAAAGATCAAAACATATATAATCGATTCTACTAACACATTCTTCTGATATTTAATTTATTAATCTCATAAAAACCCAAAGTAACCAGTTTAAAATGCATTATATATTTGAGAAAACCAGTTATCTTTCTATGTACAATAATGCAGCTCGTTTTGTTATTTTTAATCTCTAAAATGTAACTTTCATTACAGAATAGTAGTACGTAGATTATGATACACTTCAGCAACTTTGGAGATACACTTATACAATACGATATAATGTAACTATTATACATTAACTATTATGCTCATACTAGAATACTTCTCTGGAATTTGGATTTAAAATTTTCTTCTCTCGAATTTTACAGAATTGTACAATATTAATATTTTTGGAACGTTATTTAATAAATTGTAAATTTTTTGCTGACTTAAAATATCCTCAGAGGTAGATCTCGTTGATCATGGGTTTTGAATCTTTTCACCGTAGGGCTAAGCATGGGAGATTTCCGTGGTTTTTCTCTCCATGTAATGCAAATGCGGAATATTCTTCTCTAGAATTTAAAATATTCTTTAAAATATTCTTCTAAAAAATTCATTTAAAATATTCTAAAAAATTCATTTAAAATATTCTTCTCTAGAATTTTACAGAATTGTACAATCTTAATATTTTTGGAACGTTATTTAATAAATTGTAAATTTTTTCGCTGACTTAAAATATCCTCAGAGGTAGATCTTGTTGATCATGGGTTAGAATCTTTTTAGCGTAGGGCTAAGTATGGGAGATTTCCGCGGTTTTTCTCTCCATGTAATGCAAATGCGGATTAGTTCCCTCAAAAAGTCCTCCACGAAGGCAAATTTCTCCCAATACTTGATCCAGGNCATTTCATTTGGATTTCTATTCAAATTCAGCATTTTATTTTTATTACAATTCAGAATTATTTCATTTCGATCTCATTTCAGCATTTCATTTTGATTTCAATTCAGCTTGTCATTTCCATTGAATTCTGCGCTTCATTCCAATATACCATTTTGAAAAAGTATGTTGACAAATTTTAATGCGACTCATTAAAAGTTTAATGTTTCTTTAAAACTTTAAATGCACAAAAATGCTTAAAAAAGAACAGCAAAACTCAAAATAAATTAATAACTACCTATTCTTATAAAATATATACATACCCTCCAACTGCTACGGAATTTCCGTAGTTTCAGAAATCTTCTTTTCAGACGGTAGCAAAATTAATGTCTTAATATTTAAAAAAAATTAATTTTAGCGTAACTTGTCCACTATTACTTATAAAAGTGCAGGCCATATGGCTAGATTCTTAAGTTCTGATAAAAGTTTTATGAGAGATCCTTTTGCTTGAAAAATTTCTACTTTGGTTCGCTACCACTAGAAAGAATTATTTTCAAAATCCTCATAAGTTGGAGGGTATGGGTTTACATCACTCATGGGCTGCAATAACGGCACAACTCAAAAAATCACGTTTTGAGATAAGTGGGTTTAAAGTTTTCATTGCTAAGGAAAATGCATAGGAAATGCTTTAGTTTGCTTAAACGAAGATTACCTTCAAGTTGAATTATGAGTTGTGCTAGTATTGCTGCTGAAAGGAATGTGCATTTTAATATTTGCACCTGTTCTGTATTCCAAAACGCGTGTTTTTTTAGTTGTGCCACTATGGCTGCCCATGAGCGATATATTGATTTTCATGACAATGAATAATTCAAACCCTTAATATGTTACGCTGTATAACAAAAAAAGTTGCATTAATTGGAAACACAATATTGGGAATAGGTTGACATCATTCAAAATGAAATATTATTCTAAACATGAAAAAAATAAGCACTTTATGGTTCATCAAATATTTATCTTTCCCTACCTAATAATGCATTCATTTTGCTTCAACAAATACTAATCTTAAATCAAAATCCATACAGATGTTCAGCAAAAAAAAGGTTCTTTCTTTTACAAATATATCATAAAGTTCCACTACATGGTCTATATATAAATAGTGAATAAGCAAAAAGCTATTCAACTCATTTTAAGGTGGTTTTACGGCTGAATTGAAGAAAGGGAAAAAATGTTCCAAGCAAAGCTGCTTTCCCCTTCAATGGTCCTACTTTCGCGTTGAGCATGCATATTTTACTCAATATTGGAACAAGAATTCTTCTCTCAAGATATATCCACGTCATTCGATGCTCTCCAACTTTTATTGCACTCTTTTCGAAACGAATGGTCTTTCTTCAATCGAAGGCCAAAAAAAAATCGTCTTTTTAGAGCATTTTCTGCGAATAAAAGTACATTTTTCTGAATTATGCGCGCAAGAAAGCACTCTAAAATATGATGAAAGGTAGGGGTAGAAAGAAGAAATTAACTTTTGAAACGTAAGACGCACATTTACTTGTCAATTTTTATGTAAGACAAGCTCTATTATATATTATTCAGTTCAATTTCCATCCTATATGAAAGATTTTTAAACCCTCACCCGGAACGCAAAGCACGTGTGCAAATTTGTATTAAAAATATATAGAAGTAACTGTTACTTTGTGCTGAAGTAGCAAGCAAAATAGCAAAAAGAAAATTGTATTATATAAAAGATTATTGGTTACTGTTTTGATTTTTCCATATATATATATATATANTATTAAATTCAGCCAGCCAATTTTTTCGGATGAATAAACTCTAATAAACTGAATTATAAGTTAAGGACTTCGATGAATTTTAATTTATATTTAGTTATCTTCACGAATTCTTCAAAACTATAAAAAAGAAGTAGACTTAAGCATTTTTTATAAATCAAAACCATTGATATTCTTTTTTCTTTAAAAATATTTTATAAAATTCTGAATCTTATGAGGTATTTTTTTCTACTTTATACCCGTATATAAAAACAAAATTGTACATTTGGTAAATAAAACTAAAAAAAATATAATTAATGGCTTATTTCATAAGAGGATATATTTTTATTTACAGAGTTAAAAAAAATTTTCTTTTACATTTCGTAAGTTAAATTTTTTATCTGTTGCTTGTGAAGACTATATTTAGTACAGTCAAATAAGGTGATACGTAGACCAAACTCAGACATTCAAGATAACAAGCGGGCAGCCAATAGGACTTGTTTCATGGGTGTCGGGTAGTCGCACATGAAAACCCCGCGAAAACCTGTGACGGGTTTTAGTAGTAGGGAAAAAAGGGGTAAGAAAAGGGGATAAACTTAAAGACTGATATTTGAAGGAATGAGATATTGTTTTCGAATTATTTTTTTATGCTGAATCAAATGAAATCAAAATCGACTTAATAATGCGATCAAACGCAGAAATATGTTCATTTCCAAACAAGTAAATTTTGTACTTAAGCCCTTTTATCTTCTAAACTTTTCGTGTTCAATATCTTTCAATTCAGCATGAAAAAAATAAATCGATAAATTTGTAAAAAATTCCGTATTTGAGATTCTCCCCCTCTTGCCGTAACCTGTCTCAGAAATTCGCGGGATTTTCGTATGCTGCCACCTTAGATCCCCATAAACAGATTCCAATAGATTCTGGCTTCTTATTTTGAATATCTACCTTAAAACCTTATTTGGTTGAACAAATTAAGGAGTAGTGGAGTTCTCTTGTTCTCTGATTTGTATCTGTAGCTTCTTTTTAGTAGCTTGTGATTTAAATTTTTGATTTGCGTCGCGTGATTATTTTCATTTGCAGGTATTGATGCAACTTAAAAAAATATCGCAGTTTTCTTTTCCATAGCCTGTAAGTTAATTGAAATTTATCAATTCGCTGTTTAATTCACAGCTCGTGAGTTTGATTTATTATTTGAAATGTATCAATTAGTTTTCTTATTTGCAGCTTCTTAATTTGTTTCAGTTTTTAAAATTTAAAAACTTACTACATTTAAGATTGAGGGATGTTACTTATTTAAAATCTGTTTTAAGTTATCATTCTTATTATAAAATTATATATTACTTAATGATTAATAAAAAAGAAATTTACCAAACACTGCATATATCTACAGCATCTGCATGTATCTACATATATGAACAATCTTTAAATGAATTTATGAGAATACCTACAAAAAAATTTCTATTCAAAGTGTGTGTTATATCAATTATTCGATCGGCACTGCAATCACTTAAAAATAATTTTAATTTTGAACTGAGTATGAATATTACTAGATTATTAGAGAAGACATTTACTAACCTCTGAATATATCTGCTGTAATTCTTACATATAATTTGTCTCTAAATGAATTGACGGGAATTTCTACAACGAATTTCAATTGAAAGTACTTGTTATACAATTTATTTCAATGGCACCACAATTATTTTTAGAAAATTTAATTGTGCACTTAGTATGAATATTACTTAAAAATTAATACAAGAGTTATTTACTGAACTCTGAACATCTCTACAGAAATTCACGTCCATAAAAAATCTCTAAATGAATGTATAAAAATATTTACAATAAATTTCAATTCGAAGTATTT